ATCATCCTCATCATCATCATCATCATCATCATCCTCCTCATCATCATCATCATCATCATCATCTTCATCATCATCATCTTCATCATCATCATCATCATCATCATCATCACCATACTTATTTTTTATCATCATCTTTATCATAGATACTATTATCAGGTCAATCATCGTCATCATATTATCATCATCAGCATCTTCACTATCATCACCATCATCATTATCATAAACATCAACATCATCATCAAGATTGCCACTACTATCATTGTCTTATATGGTATTAAAACTTTTTTTCAGATTACGATTGAAGAAATTATTTTAGAGACCGAGCGAAGCAATGGTAAAATTCACCATGCAAAACTCACAATCCAACAACGACAGTCAGACTCCTGTTATCTCGGAGAATTATACTCTGACAAAGATCACAACTCTCAAGAAGGTCGTAGGTTAGGAGCAACAACTAAGTATGTTTATTTTGTAAATTATTTGTATTGCTTGAATTTAAAGAATGGCTTTTATTAGAATATGTTAAATGAAAGATGTCATATTTTGTTTCCGTTTTTTTTTTTTATGTATGTAATTTTAACTTAATAGAAATCGTTCAATTGTGAATATATTTATCTTTTTGGTTAGGAAGGGTTCAGTGAGTTTTGATAGTTAAAAAGGGGCCAAGCCCCGCTTCTTTCTACTTCACCTTGTGAATGTTATATTGATATGTAATAATATGCAATAAACATTGATTTAATGTAACCTTAATAATATACTTTCTATTAAATTAAATTGATTTTTTTCCAATTGTCTTACTTCAATCACAGATTTTCATTAGGAACAAGGCATAATGCACAAAGGTAATATTTTGACTTGTGTTTGTTTCTTTTGTTTTATATTGATTCTAATAATGTTACGATCATTGTGGATGAGATGTAATCTCAATATTTATGTTATGTAAACAAGCAGGAAATATGCACCTAGGCCTGAAACATAGCATTAACTACTTCACAGCCCCTACAACAGTTCAAGCTAGGGTATCTAAGCATAGCTGGCTGAGAATAGTTAGTATGTGGCTCGAACTCCCGGCCACGGGTTAATAATAATAATAATAATAATATACTTTATTTAAACACGGAGACACTTGAATCACCCATGGGTGTTTTTCATCAAGGCCGTGCAAGGCCATACATAATTAGAAAAGAAAAAATTATTGAAAACAAAATGAATTAAAGAAAACAACAAAAACATAATATCTTAACTACCAGCGAAACTATCCCCTGCCAGTTCAGAACCTAAATGGAAATCGGTGTGTCAAACCGCCTTCTTGCCTTTATTATTATAACTTAGAAATCTGTCTTAGAATTAAGTAATATCATAACAAATTATTGAACCCGTCTATACAGGTATTTGAACCAATTCCAAGACTTGCATACAGAGGAGGGAAGAAGGCCAGTGAAAATCACAAGAATAGTACCGGGTCACCCCCCACAGGTGGTACAATCGGCCAATTACCCACATGCCCCATCATCTTCATCTCAATCTGCAGGGCATGACAATACCAGCACTAACCAGCAGAAAACTTCAGGACCAATTGTAGTCAAAGTAAGCGTTACTTATTTTAATAAGTTTATTTTATTTATTTCTTTTTTTTTATGATATTGAACAAGTAATAATTCCTTTTAAGAGAACAGAAATACAATATCAACCTATGATGAAACCGATTTTATCTATTCCTTTTTAAATTTTATCTATTATTTAATTTATCAGTTTATAGATAATTTGTTATTAAAATATTAGGCATTTTATCATTTAATATTGCTTTATATATTAATTAATTTTAATTTCATTATGTATAACATTTTGTTTTAATGTCTAGACTGAGCCATCAGGTGAAGTTGAGTTTGCCGGCACTCAAGCCAAGCGTATACGACTTCCTCCACCTCCATTAAAATTATCTGTGTCGCTAAGCAACACAGGAAGCTTAAGCACAAACTTTTCTAACAACAACACTCAACAGATGCAGATATCAGGTGAGATTTCAAATGAATTAGAAAGCTCAAATTTTAATATATGTGACATGCCTAAATATGGTCATGATGACATCACAGCATGACCATATATAGGCACATCATGACTATATATGGGCACATCATGACTATATATGGGCACATCATGACTATATATGGGCACATCATGACTATATATGTGCATTCAAACAGTTGATTTGCATAGGGTATGGTTTGATCCTGTTTTGCTTGCAACTGATGAGTACATGCAACATTATGAGACACATCCCGGTTGGGGGTGGGGGATGTTGATTGTGCAGCTACGATTTTTTTTCTTGTTGATGTTTATTTATTTCTGTTATTCTGACAATGAAAAGTCTTGACATTTCTAATTTTGAATGCAGAATCTCTACACTTGTCCTGAGCCAAAACCCAACCCAGCGGATTTAGAGAAAGGTAAAAAAAGTTAAAAAAAAAGAAAGACAGAAAGAAAGAAAAAGAAAAAGAAAAACGATCGCCCAAAATGCCTCAGAGGTTATTTCAGGTGTCAAAACACAACAATTTTGCGGGGGCATGCCCCCAGACCCCTTAAGGTAGTTTTTTCTCTCAATTGGCCCCACTTTCGGTCCCCTCCTTTTGGACACCTCTGAAGCCACCCCTGCATCTAAAATCTTTTTTAACAACTTCATCTCATTTTTTTTATGGATAATCTGTATGATATATTTTTTATGTTATTTAATTATTTATTATGCAATTTTTGAATAAAGTTGAAATGTATATATTTTTCTTTGTTTTGTCGCAGGTGGCAATATCCAGTCCCAGCCAATAACTATTTCAACCCAAGGGTCATCGAACTCATTCACCACAAACCAAGCACTCAGTCTCCTGCAACAACAAGGTAGCAATAGACCCCAGCCCCCAGCCTACCTCAGTCTCAATAGGTAAGTTGTAGGCCCAGGCACCTGTATCTCTCTTACTCTTAACAAATCCCAGGTCCCAGCTTATCACAGTCTATTTCAATACTATCAGATTTGTTTGTGACAAATAACTGAGATAGGCCTATGCCCATATTGGGAGTGATATGACATCATCATAAATTTGTCATAAAATTTAATAGTGTGAACAGGGCCTAAAGCTATGTCCGCACTATCAAATTTTGTGACAAATAACTGTGATATGCCCATATTTGGGTGTAATATGACATCATCATAAATTTGTCATAAAATTTAATAGTGTGAAGAGAGCCTAAAGTTATGTCCGCACTATCAAATTTTGTGACAAATAACTGATATGCCCATATTTGGGTGTAATATGACATCATGGCCATATATGGGCATATCACACAAATTTGTCACATAACATTTGATAGTGTGGCTGAAGCTTTAGTTATTTTTTGAATTAGCTTTTCTATACATACAGTTTATATTCACCCACTTATTATTCATCACCTTTCACCATTTACATATTTTTTATATTTTTATTATTAACTTATGTTTGTATTTGCAGGTCATGTAGCATTTCTGCAGATGGTACCAGCATTGTACAGTCACCTGTTGGAACACCTACAAACACGCCTGTGTCAGTCACTGGTATGTCAAAATAGACACCTTGTACAGGCTATCAATTTTTATTTGACAAGAACATGTGATATGCCTAAATATGGTCATGATGACATCACATCATGACCATATATAGGCACATCATGACTATATATGGGCACATCATGACTATATATAGGCACATTATGACTATATATGGGCATACAACAGTTTTTGCCAAATCAAATTTGATAGTCTGGACAGGACCTCAAGCTCTGTACAGATTATCAAATTTTATGCGTCATATTTGTGTGATGTGCCCATATATGGGCATGATGATGTAATATTACACCAAATTTGGGCATATCACAGTAATATCTCACATAGTGTGGTTACAGCTTTAGTTTTTAAAGCAGCACATAAATGATAACAAAATTATTGGTCATAAGAAGACATATTTCTGACAATTAAAAAATCTGGTTTTGTTTTTTTTATTTTTCACTAGTTGGTGCTCAGCTTGGGTTCCCAAGTTTACCAGGCTCAATTACTCCACAATCAATCAATCAATCAATCAAATCTCCACCTCCCCCTGCAACCCCACCCCCAAGACACACATCAGCTCCTACAAGCCTCCGTAGATTATCAATGGATGACAGAAACGTACAAGGTAAGAAAAAAATCACAAAGTTTGAATGAAATCTTTTTAGGTGTTTACACTTTTTGCAGTGGGTGCTTATATAGTTTCTAGTTTTAATTTTCCTGCCTCTTGAGTTGATGTATTAGTTAATTTTAAGCTCTTATTATACTTCTATGTAAATATCTTAAACTCTGTTTTTGATTAACTGTGGTGCAGTGTATAACCTCACATCTATATGTCTTCACTGACAGTTCATGCTTCTTTTTCTATGTAAATGTAATCATCCTGATGACTGTTTGTGATAACTTGTGATGCTACCCCATGAGGGAGCTACTGTAACACTTCAAAGGTCAAAGTTCATAGTATAATGCTTGTTTATGGTAGAGGTCTGGATATAACACATGCATTTAAATAAGAAAATTCATAGTTCTGAACTGCGCATGCTAAGGTCAATCAACATAAACAAACATACACACAACATCGGTTTATGTCAGTTGACCTTTGACATGGGCATGCGCAGTTCACACTACGAATTAGCTTATTCCAAAGACACAAGGTCACATGACAGCATTTCGTACATTGTATTTACTTTTTTTTCAATGTGTCATTCTTATGTCGTGGTTAATATATAGTGGTATCTGTAAAAACACTTCTTTCGCACCTGTTCCAACCCAGGTTCTATGGCACCACCAGCTACACCTCCCATGCTGTCCACCTCCTCCGCAACCCCTCCACCGCCTAGCCCTAAAGGACTCCTTAACGCAGCCACTGGTCAAGAAGTGTCTATATCCCTGGCTAATGTTTCTCAAGCTAGCCTACCACAGGCTGGAGTAGCTGTCGCTCTTACCATGGATGGCGGTAGCATAGCTCTTCCAATTACTGGCCTTGTAAACCATTCGCAAGCAGGTGAGATAATAATCCACAAGCTAATGTTTTTTATGTGTCCTTAAATCATTATGTAATATGCAATAGTGTGTCTGCAATAGGAAAGTTCAATACAAGCTACTTGGCTGGTGTTATTCTCATCTACTGTATTTAATACAGTAAATTTTTTAAACTAAATTTGTATTTCTTTACTTAGAGGTAGTGGTTTGTGGTTTTATTTTATAATAATTATTTACGATGTTAGTTAATTCATTGTTTTGTTTACTAATTTTGTTTTGATTGCTTTTATTTTTTTTCTGGTTGAATGTGGTTATATGTTTTCTTTCCAGATATTTATTTCTTATATTATGTTTTCACAATTCAAATTTTTTATCAAAGTTTTACTAAACTTATAGTAATAAATTAAACAAAATTAATTATTACATTATGAGAATATGAGAATACATGGAGACAGCAGTTAATGATAGAAACAGTGCTAAATTATAATGCTGTATTTTATATATATTATTTATTAAAGTTTATTATGTGTTTATTATGTTATGAATATATGCTATATCTTTACCTACTAATTCTTGAATTTCTAAAGGTTTGGTTCAAAGTTCAACCAACTTGATCAACACCCCAATTGGTGTTATGACCTCCCTCGGCAGCCTCATCTCCAATGCACAGGGTATAATCCCGCTGCAAACAGCGCCCTCTACAACTAGCAACACTATCGCCATTACCAACACAACTCAAGCAAAACTCAACAATGCTCAACTTGTCGTTGGCAAGTCAGGAAATGTAGTGAACCTGAGTGGATCACAGCTACCAGTAGGTATCAGTTCCGCGGAGCTTAGCCAGCTACTAGCCGTGATGAAGAACGCTCAGGCTGTTAGGTCAACAGGTGGTAGTCAACAACTACAAAATGTATCACTTTTGCAGGTAATGTTGAATTTTTTGATAGAAAAATTATTTCTTTATTATTATTATTATCATCATTATTATCATTATTATGTTACTAAAACCTACCTTAAGGGGAACTTAGACAATAGAGAAATTAGAGAACAATTAAAAAAACGACGTTAAGGGGAAAATAACACAAGATATTCCCCTTAAGTCCGATTTAGGGAAATTATAATTATTATTATTATTATTATTATTATTATTTTTATTATTATTATTATTATTATTATTATTATTATTGTTATTTGTTGTTTTGGTGTCTATTTTTGTAAATACTAACCTGGAATTGTCATTGCTTTAATTAGAATTTCCCTAAAAATAATGGAATCATCCATTCCAGGCATCGTATATTAACTACAATGTATGCATCCTCATTCTTCTTTCATCATCATTTGCTCTACATTATTATGAATAACTGTGTATTCCTAGGAATAAATCCCATAGAGCTAATGTGATTCCTACTGTTTCCAGTGACAAAATAATGTACGTGGTTTTTATTTGTTGTTTTTGTTTCAAAGCTACCAACAACAAACAACCTTCTTCAAAGAAGTCAGAACATATCCCAGAATGCATCAACAGTGGCATCAATTAGACAGGTTGCGAAGACACAGCAGGTAAAGCTTGGTTTCCTTAAAAGCGCTTCACTGTCGCTACAGTGTTTTCAGTGCAAGTGTTTGGGAAGGCTCCCTTGTTCCACCGACTACTCAGCATCACTGAAAGCTGTCAGAGATAGGGTGTAGTGATTGTATGAAAACCAACCTTTAGGTTAATGATATTATTTTTTTTAAATGAAATTGGTATTGGTATTATAATTATTATATGAATTTCTATGTATAAATATATATTTTAAATATAAGCTAACTCACATCAATTATCAACTGTTTCTTCTGCTATTCTAATGAAAGTCCAAGGGTCAAATTCTTTGTATTAACCAATACATTCTGTTTATTTTTTATAAAGCGTCAACAAATTGTATACAACGCCAATTTGCAACAGCACACATCACATATAAATACAGTGTTGCAACAGCAGCAGCAACAACAGCAGCAACAGCAACAACTCCAGCAACAGACGTTTCAGACAAACCAGACACAAACACTGCAGGTGCAACAAGACACGCAGACACAAATACAGCGAGCAAGTTCGGCGCAACTGTTGACTGGCACAAACCTCTCACAATTGGCCCAGGTCAGTGGTAGCATAGATTTATATTTTAATTGCTGTATATGTTACCATTAAAACTAATTTCTATAAATAAGTCAATTCCTTCTTTGAACTGCGCATGCGTGTATCCGAGGACTACCAACATAATTCTATGTTGTGTGTTTGTTTACGTTGATTGACCTACCTTGAAATGGGCATGCGCAGTTTAAACTATGAATTGCCTTATTATTACATAATTATTTTAAGGTATAAAATATCTTGCCTAATTAAGACTGATATAGTCTGCAATGTTAGTTGTTGATATGGAAATGAAAAAGATAAAATTTTGATAATACTGTAATGTTTTATGCATTAGGCTCTGTCCAAAATATCAAAGTTTCTTTGACAAAATGCTGTTATATCAAAAAAAATATTTAAAATGTTATTTAAAAAAAAAAACTGTTTTATTCCCATATATAGTCATGATGTGCCTATATTTGGTGATGATGTGATGTCATCATGACCATATTTAGTCATGTCGCATGTAATTTAATATAAGTATGGACTGTGTTTAAATGTTTCCAATGTATCCTTTAATAGTTGCCTGCACCTGTTATACAACAAGCAATACAGCAGCAACAGCAACAGATACAACAGCAACAACAGCAACAGCAGTTGCAACAACAGCAGCAACGACAACAAGTCCAGCAGCAGATTGCAGCTCAACAAGCGTTCAGCAAACAGCAGCAACTGTGGCAGCAACATAAGGCTGCAACAAAACCGAAGGCCAAGAAGAAAAAATGAAGACTGTTAGGTATACAGTAGTACCCCCCTTCTTCCTTTGGGACACCCCTATTGAGGAGGAATTATTTGGCTATGAAGCGAGGGAAAATATATCTTTTAACACTACAGCCAAACCCTATTCAGCGGGCACCTGTATAATGGGGAAAATTGTTTTATTCTTAGAGGTGTCCCCTAATAATGTAATGCAGTTGGATTTATATAGCACTTTACACCAGATTGTCAGAACTCAAAGTGTGGACTAGCTCGTACGGTAACTTTCTTTTCACCTAAGGGTCTTTTCGTGTCTGAGCTGCTGTATAAGATATACTTCCACTCAAAAAAATCAAGAAAAAAAAAATGCGAAATTTAACTAAAAGTTTGGATTGCTTATAATTATAAGTCAGATGAAAAGGCAAAGACTTAGCAATGGTGATATTTAAATCTCTGTTAATAGATCTTTCCAAGGTGTCAATCAAACTTTACAACTGACCAATCAGAAGAGAGGTCAGGAATATGTGCCAAGTTCTACGTATGCTTCTACACTGTCATGTTGTAGGACCATAGCAACATTTTCCAAGGGGGTGGGACTTGGCTGAAAGTTTCGTTGGCAGGACAAGTATTTCCTCATTCTAATTTTCAGTAGAAAGGTCAAAGGTTATACCTTACTGAAAAATATACGAAGTAAGCAGATTCAGTACTTATTTTAAATTTTAAACTGTAGTAGATTTATGTGGTGTGGAATATTCCCACCAAGAAAAACTAAAGTCCTGAGATGAGGGTTGCTTTGTATAATATGCACACTATTTTATAAGTCTATCCTGGATAAAATGACTTATTTACAAGAATCCCCTGACTAGAACACCCCTTAAAAATAATGGAATAGTCATTTTATCAAGTTTCGTAAATATCATCATTGATTTGTATAATTTAGGAGGCTATTAGGATGTAAGTGATATCCATGCTATTTGATGGTGGCTCGCTTTTTAAACTCTCATGCAATTACCCAAATATTTATTCACAACCACCTGTAAATATTGAAAAAGTGAATTTTAAAAACACAACTCTAATTTTTATTTTTTTATTTATATCTAACATCAAGTACATTCACTAGTTACAAGACTGAATATTGTGATCACGTTACTAGGGTCCCAAGTTTCCTGGAAGTCGTCGGAGTTTCCCGGAAATTGGGAAGGCATTTCCGCAAGCAAGCAAGAATCTCACAGAAAATAACCCATCTCCTGCAAATTCATAAAATTTGCAGGTTTTTACTACTTTAACATCAATTGTCTCATGGAAATCAGTGCCGATTGGTAAACACAATGCCCAGCAATATAAAATTAAACATGTTAAGAAAGTTCATTTAACCAGATCTCTCGGAAGGGATTTCTTCCAACCTGGAACCCCTGCATTACACAGCTTAAGCCCAAAGCCCACAAGAGTAGTTTGCTCAGCAAACAACCTCTTGTAACATTCTTAGTGAGACTTTTGCCTCACGAAACATTGAGCAAAATACCTATCGTGTTTAATATTTTCTGTGAAAGCTCACTATGTGTGCCTGTTTTAAGCAAACAGCTTGTTTGCGGTCGATGTAACTTATGAATTGGCCAATCACAAACGCCATTTCACCCAGGCTAGAAGCAGGGCTAGCTATTATGTGATGACAGGTGTTAACATATGTATGCAATTTCCTATGTCGTGCCACAATGCTTGCAGAGCAAAATGGCATTGTGCCATGCTTAAAGCTTGGTCCAGACTACTAAATTTTATTTGACAAAAAAAAAACAAACATGTGACATGCCTATATATGGTCATGATGACATCACATCATGACCATATATAGGCACATCATGGCTGTATATGGGCATATATATTGGCTCTTTATAGGATTTCGACCGAGGACCCTGGATTGAAAAGCAAGCATCAAGTTTCAGCTTTACATTTATAGTAGGAAATGCCAAACTATATATAAATTTCATTGATTAAAATATTTATAGAAATATCAATTATTGGAATATTGCATTAATTATTGAAAATTATATAATTTAATTCAACAATCACTTATGTAGAAGACCAACGTACAGTATCTATTTTGAATGTATTCTAATAAGTTATGTAGCACTAACCATGTGCAGTTCTTGTGCTACTTACCTTTTTCAAAGTGTGGAGTGTAGTTTAATTCAGACCAAAAAGGGTTTTGTCATAGGTTTGAGCTAATCATTTAAGACCCTTCCATGCTTTACAACCAAGTCTCCTTATGAAGTTTGTGGAATGAAGAGCTAATAATTCGGGGCCTTTGATGCTTTATAACCAAGTCTTTTTATGAAGGTCTTAGTAGAGATCTGATCATTTGGGACCCTTCTATAACCAAGTGTTTTATGAAACTTTGGGCAAGAAGAGCTGATCTTTTATGAAGCTCATCATGTGTGACTATTTGTGCTTTATAGCCAAGATTATGAGACTTGGGGGTGTTGAGGGAGCAGTGTTGCGACAGCAGGGGGAATTTTCCTCCTGTTGGACAGGCCTGGATCCTCTGTCATCAGACGCACGACTAGATCATCAGATCAAAAATTTAAAAAATAATAATTTGCCTATCCAAATAACATTATTTTGACTGCCAATGCCTAATACTGTATTATGGTTTAAAAGCACATCTTGGGGCCATGCTAAGCCATAGAAACTCTCCCTGTAGAGCCTACGAGGGAGTTTTTTTCAGGCCACTCTGAGGGAGAGGTGATTCATTTGGACCCCCATTGCTCTGTAACCAAGCCTATGAAGCTAGGGTATGAACCTATATATTATCAACCTTTAGTGATTCAACAAGCACAGATCCAGTTTGGGGGTGGGGGAGCGGCATGTCCCCCTCCCCTGTTGTGCCACTAAATTTTAAAAATCTCAATGCATATCGAATATGTATTGAAATAAGCGCTACTCATCTATTTTAAAAATGTTGTGGCCCCCTGTTTGATGCAGGTGACACAGTTCTCTATACAACATGGGTGGGCAAATTGCGGCTCCCGGGCTGGATGCGGCAAAACAGCAATGTTTTTGCGGCCCACGAAAATGAAAAACCCTATGTGTGTGGACCACCAAGCAACATTGACAAGAAAACACCTTGTTTTTTACGGCCTGATACCGATCAAATGTAAAAAGTAACATTAAAACTGAGAATAAAGTAGTGTAAAAGCAGTACTTGGAGGTTTCTGGAAGCACACTGGAAACTGGAAGTTTGGGTGTGGCCCTCTGCCCTAAATCAAAAATTTACTTTGGCCATCCAACCAATATTTATGCCCACTGCTGCTATACAGTAACTAAATATTTGTTTATGTTGTGAAGTATTTAATTGTTGTGAGAAACATCTTGTAAATTTGAACCCAGGGCCTTAGGTATGGAAAGCAAACGTATTAACCAATAGACCACAGCCCCTCTAGTTAAAAGTATACAAAGATAAACTAAACCTCCGGGAAACTCATGGGCATAGACTGGAGTTGCATCACCCCCCACCCCACCAAATGAAGGCAAATTATTTCCACTAAGTAGGTTAAAATACTAAATGTGACCATTAATTTTTCATTGGAATAGGGATTTTGTTCCGCTTTCTCAATTTTCACAGGCCATTTTACACACCCACCCCCTGTCTCTTATACACATCTAGATGTGTATAAGAGACAGATATACTTCCACTCAAAAACCCTTCCATGCTTTACAACCAAGTCTCCTTATGAAGTTTGTGGAATGAAGAGCTAATAATTCGGGGCCTTTGATGCTTTATAACCAAGTCTTTTTATGAAGGTCTTAGTAGAGATCTGATCATTTGGGACCCTTCTATAACCAAGTGTTTTATGAAACTTTGGGCAAGAAGAGCTGATCTTTTATGAAGCTCATCATGTGTGACTATTTGTGCTTTATAGCCAAGATTATGAGACTTGGGGGTGTTGAGGGAGCAGTGTTGCGACAGCAGGGGGAATTTTCCTCCTGTTGGACAGGCCTGGATCCTCTGTCATCAGACGCACGACTAGATCATCAGATCAAAAATTTAAAAAATAATAATTTGCCTATCCAAATAACATTATTTTGACTGCCAATGCCTAATACTGTATTATGGTTTAAAAGCACATCTTGGGGCCATGCTAAGCCATAGAAACTCTCCCTGTAGAGCCTACGAGGGAGTTTTTTTCAGGCCACTCTGAGGGAGAGGTGATTCATTTGGACCCCCATTGCTCTGTAACCAAGCCTATGAAGCTAGGGTATGAACCTATATATTATCAACCTTTAGTGATTCAACAAGCGCAGATCCAGTGGGGGGGTGGGGGCAGCATGTCCCCATCTCCCGTTGTGCCACTAAATTTTAAAAATTTCAATGCATATCAAATATGTATTGAAGTAAGCGCTACTCATCTATTCTAAAAATGTTTTGGCCCCCTGTTTAAAAAATTCTGGATATGCCTCTGTCCAATATACAGTATTTTTTTTTTTTAAGTTTATATTTGATGCAGGTGACACAGTTCTCTATACAACACAGGTGGGCAAAGTGCGGCTCCCGAGCTGGATGCGGTAAAACAGCAATGTTTTTGCAGCCCACGAAAATGAAAAACCCTAAGTGTGCGGCCCACCAAGCAACATTGGCTGGAAAACACCTTGTTTTTTACGGCCTGATACCGGTCAAATGTAAAAAGTAACATTAAAACTGAGAATAAAGTGGTGTAAAAGCAGTACTTGGAGGTTTCTGGAAGCACACTGGAAACATTAAAGTTTGGGTGTGGCCCCCTGCCCTAAATCAAAAATTTACTTTGGCCATCTGACCGATATTTATGCCCACTGCTGCTATACAGTAACTAAATATTTGTTTATGTTGTGAAGTATTAAATTGTTGTGAGAAACATCTTAGGAATGGAAAGCAAATGTATTAACCATTAGACCTCAGCCCCTCTAGTTAAAAGTATACAAACTAAGCCTCCGGGAAACTCATGGGCATAGACTGGAGGTGCACCACTCCCCCTCCCCCTTCAAATGAAGGCAAATTAGTTCCACTATAAGTGGGTTAAAATACTAAATATGACCATTAAGTTTTCATTGAAATAGGGATTTTGTTCCACATTCTCAATTTTCACAGGCCATTTTACACACCCACCCCAGACCAAAACCAGCCTATGCCCCTGAACCTGAATGTACTTATTATCTATCTACAAAATTATAAATTATATTGTGCTCTTCTTAATATTATTATTATAAGTGTCCGATCACTGCAAAATAACTGTAATATGTCATTGAAAATTACGGAAATAAATGGAATTTTATTTCCTGCAATTTTAATGAGAAATTAAGAATGTATTATGCTGACTTTTTCATATGAAATGTTAAGTAATTGATGTAATTTTTTTTTTCCAAGGAAATAATGCAATTGTAGATTTTTCTAAGGTACCCATTGTCTTGAGATTTTATCACATTTAATTTGTATAATTATAATATTTTTAATGTGGACAATGTAAAGTATTTCGAGTTATGCACTATGGTAGTATGTCCCAAGTTAAAGCAGCATTTTTATGTCCTCATGTCTTTTGATTGGTTAAAAGGCAGATGCTATTTTGCATATTATGTAAGACAACACTGACCATTAAAAATTTCTATACTGGAAAAAAGGAAAAATATTTCTTAACTGTTTTAATAAACATCATAGTGATATAACTTCTTTCTGAATGTCGAGTCAGTTTTGTGAATACTTAGATAAAACGACTATTGCCTTGTTTACCAAAATGTCCACAAGCGCTAGAACAGCGAGTTATCTCTGTAACCCGCGCGAAAGACAAAGCTTCACAAGCAGTGAGGGCACTCCATATTCGAGGACAAAAAGGGAACAAGGATGGACAGTTCTATTTTTTTCGAGGGGTGTTCCTGAATACGAAAACAAGGCAATAGTTGGTTTATCCAGGTATCTCATAGACTACAAACATCATGATTTATGTGTGTAATTTGGTGATGTAACAATATTTATAATGCTGATAGTTTTTTGTGATATGTAGGGTACTGGTATCTAACAAATAATCATATAGACACTGCTTTGTAGCTACTGTATACAGTATAAATAAACCAGTTTTATTACAAAATATGGAATAATTTTTTTTTCTTTAATTCTTACACATCAAAGTGTAAATATAGTTCACCATAACCATCATGGTTAAAAGTACTTATGTATTCAGATGGATGCACAGTTCAAGAAATTAAGAAACATCTTTAATTTTTTTTTTATCAATTGGAGGCTTCGGCTTCTGGGAATGGATCGTTTTGGAATTTTAGCAGAAAATCCTCAACTGGTGGCGCAAGTTTGAATGTCAGCAAGGAAATATGTTAAGAACTACCGCTCCACGCTGTCAGCTGTTGTTGTTATAAGTTTGCGGACTTCAACTGTCCTTACTTTAGCTCTGTTGATACAGTCTTGTAACTGGTTTTCAGTCAAAGGGCTACCACCTAAGAAAAAGAAAATAATAACAAAAAGAAGCCAATAAAATATAATAAGAAGTTAGCTTACTTGCTAATCAAATTTAACCCTTCACCCACGCCCTTTGAAAAGTGGAAAAAAAAGAAATTTTGGAGGTTATTTCCAGGTGTCTAGAAAACAAAAATTTTACAGGGCCCCCGGACCCCCCTAGGGTAGTGCTGTCTTTTGATCGGACATCCCCCCCCCCCTCTTTTTTTAGACATTTCTGTATCCACCATTGCAGTCATTAAAATTTCCTACCTGGTTTATGAAGACAACAGAGGTTATTATTTTCATTCAAAGCGATAGTAACCACTCCTGTCGCTAGATCCTCCTCTTCAACTGTTGGGTCTGCAATTAATATTCTGTCTCTTATACACATCTAGATTTTTATAAGAGACAGCTTCCATGCTTTACAACCAAGTCTCCT